TAAAGTCAAATACACATCTATAAAGATTTTAAAAAGCTTTTCCATAAGATACTATTAAATTTATATACTTAAATTTATTTTTACTTATTTATATTATTTAGATAATTATTAGAATAAATATAAATATCTATGACTTTTTTTGGGGCTTATTTTGAGGCCAAGGGGGCTTAATTAGTTGTTGGCTCTACTAATGGCCATTTTCTTAATTGGTTGGTGGTTGTTATTTTGTTATTATTTTTGTAGAAGCAAATAAGTTCATATGTTTGTTTTTATTTGTAAGGTTATGGTATATATATTTTACTTTTAAATTTTATATTTTAAGGCTTTAAACTAAGGTAAGAGGTATAAACTTTAGGAGATAGATTTTAGTTTTAAAGAATCTTTTCTTTTATATGACATACTTGAAATAGCTATTCTAATTTATATTTTATTATTAATTATTATTATTATTATTATTATTATTATAATATGAATGTTTATTTTTTTTTCTAGAATTCTTAGCTAATATAATCTTCTATATTATATGAGGTATTTTTTTGTATTATTTTTTAATTATATTTTAATTTTATATCTAATATTATATTATTTATTAGCCTCTATATTATCAAAATATATAAGACTAAAATAATCATTATTATTAATTATATAGTAAAAGACTTATTTTTTAAAAAATATTTATGCAATGACTATTATGTTTATATATAAAAAAAACCAAAAAAATTATTGATTTTTTTTAAAATTTTATACTATAATTCTTTTATTTTAAGTTAAATTAAAAGTATGTCAACGACATGAATTGGAAGAAGATGCATAAATCTAGGAAATTTGTGTCAAAAGAAAAGTGAAAAAATAAAAATAAAGTAGTATTTATATTAAAAGAAAATTGGAATGGTTATTATCAAAAGACTAGGAAATTAGAAATTCTTGAATCTAGACTAGAAATAAGAAAGGAATTGATAAGTGTAAAGAAGGCTTCACTCTTGCCTCTATATATACTATCTACCTAAGATTTATGTGGCAATATTCTATAGGACCTCCAAAAATGTGTTGACTTTACATGACACATATCTTGACTTGCAAGGCAAGTTTTCTATATGGCTGCCACATAGTTAACTTATTCCACAAGCTACCAACACATATGGTACATGGATAGCTTGTTGACCAAGTTTCTAACCTATCAATCAACTACAAATACATGTAAAGACAAAACAACATCTAAATAATTTGGATAGGAGGTAGGAATGATTATATTTGTATTCTAAGATTATAATATTTCATCATAAAAAAATCCATTAGTTTAAAATCTAAAGTATAAGCTAATTCAAATAAGATAAATAGATACATTTTTATTGTCTATTGTCTTTTCAATTGATATATTAAATATATATATATATATATATATATATTAAAAGATTTATAATGAATATAAATTTATAAATTCTATGTTTAATATTAAAATTTTAATTATTATATATACACTTTATATATTATTAATTTTTTTATTATGAAAATGTCTCTATTTTAATCTTTTGAATGACCTATCAAAACTTAATATATATATATTCTATTTAAATTATTAATAGTTATTTTTGGTCTTATTTATAAAATAAACTAAAATACTATATTTAATGGTTTTTTGATATAATGTGTCCACTTATTGGAATTAAAGTATCATTATAACTATAAATTACATATCATCTTTCTAATTCATATCTTAATAAGTTTTAGTATTTAATTTTTATTTTATTTATACAAATAAAAAATAATTTTTTAATAAGCCAACATCTAATTTAGAAGAGATTCTAAGTAGCATACATTTTTTTCATTATTATTTGTATTTTCTAAGCATTATAATTTTTTTATATAAATACTATGTGATTTTAGACTTATAAAAATTAATTTTAAGACCTAAGATAGTACTGAAGTTGAAGTTTTTTTTAATAACCTTATTTGAATATTAAACTATTTAAAATAAATATTATTAAATAATATAATTTTTTTAATATTAAAATATTTATGATTCTAAAATAGTATTTTAAGGGATAGGATTTTTTATAATTAAGTAATCAAATTAGTTCAAACTTCATACTTTTTCTATAAAAATAATGATTAATCAATTTAAAATTATTTTTTAATTTATTTCATTTTTATGCCATTTAGATAATATTTTATTTACCTTGACCATGTTTTATAGATCAAGGTGTATTAGTTCTAAAAATTAAGGCTTAAAACCTAAAGTCTCTATTGCTTTAGATACAAATTTCCAAAAAAATCTTGTTGTAGGCTTTATTAATTGAGCCTAATATGTTTGTATATGAAGTAAAAATATCTTATGAGTAGTTAGTCAAATTTTCTAATATAAAATAATCTTTAATATCCAAATATATCCTTATATAAACTTAAAAAATATTTATTTTTAACTATATATCTATTTATAATTAAATTATTTCTATTACATTTATTTAGTCATAATTAATTTATCTCTAATACTTATCTAATAATATTTTGAAGAAAAGATTTAATTAAATTCTAAATCTTATTGCCTTTAATAAATTTTTTTTACATATTTATAAGTAATTTCTATATTTTTTACAAATAAAATAATATAGAATATTTAAGATAATATATTATATTAATATATTAAATTAATAATTAGCCTAAAAAATGCTAAAAATTATATTCTTTCAATTTTATCTTTTCATTTGATTTAAGAAGTGTCCTAATTCAATTTCTAGTATATTACATTTTGTTTCTTTTTTTAAATATTTCTAATATATATATATATATATATATATAGTATACCACTAAGTGTGTAGTTCTATATTAATGTCATCATCCAAATAATAAGAAGGATTTTGCATAATTTTGAAATAATTATACTTGGGGTTGTTCAATATTTTTATGTTAAATAACATTATAGAAATATTTATTAATATTATCTTTAGATTCAAATTTTTGGTCCAATGCCTTCAAGTTTTTTATAATAGAAGGAGCATGGTTATTAGATGTTGTAGGATAATCAATTTTTAATCTTTTTATATTAATGTTGCACAGGATTTTACGTGAGATCCATTTAATAGGGCCATGTTGCCCACTTTACTCATCTTTTTTAGAATACATCATTCTGAGTGTCATGTACCAAAGGAGACATGGGTGTTGCTATGAATGAATTATAATGCCATGTTTTGGTGCTTGGTCATTGCATGTAAAGGTCTTCTTAATAAGTTTAGTTTTGTCTTCTTTTGCTGTGAATGTGTCCTTTACACCACTTGTTGTGGCTGTAAGATATTATGAGTTAAAACAGATATGCCAAAAAACATGTATACAATAGTATATTTATTTATTTTTTAATATATAGTTATTTTATTTAGAACTAGATTTTGATTTTGATTTTTAATTTTTTTTTTGGATAAGTGAAAAAAATAAAATCAAAAGTAAAAAATTGATGTCTGTATGTATATGTATACACATACACATATATCTACATACATGTATTATGTATATTTACATATATATACTAACTTACATTGATATGTTTGATGCAAAACTTTATCATTGGCATTAATTCCAATTTCAATTAGGATACACTCTTTAGACCTCATAGATTGCTAATCTTTTTTGTCTGTTAGCAATATTGGGAAAAGGTTTTATTCCTAGTTTAATCTCTATAATTTGTAAAAAAGTTATACCTTCTTATTCAAACTTATTAAAATTAAATTTTATTTATATTTTATTCATATTTTTATTATAGGTATTTAAAATCAGAAACAAGGACATATCTAAACATCTGCACAACCCTTATGTCAATTGAGAATTGTGCTACTTTTAATTTATTTGAAGTAAAAAAAGTAAGGAAACATCAACCAAAGGTTTAATAAAGTAAAAAGATTAGATTGTTGGACAATGTTTTTCATCATGTGTTGAAATCTTCATTTTTATTTTATTTTATTTTATAGAAAATCCACAATGCTGAAAATTTTCTGAAAGTTTACCAATTACCTTCAACGGTGCAAGTACAGGTTTCAATAAAGAGTTTTTTTTTTTTTTTTTTTTTTTTTTTTTTAGTCAAGTTAAATATTTTGCACATGATTTTCCATGTTCATCTCAAAAGTCATCGCAACAAAAATTAAATATGAAGACTTACTGGGTTGAAGAGTCAGTTACTATTTAGAATCCCAGACAAAGAATTTGAGAGGCCCGAAAAAGCATAAAATCTAACACAGATCGTGATTAAATAAATAACCAAGTACAAAATGGGACAAATAGACTTACATACTTACATTGTTCAATACAACAAACATTTCATCACTTTTTTCTTTCAACGAAGCATGTAATTAGGTACCCAAAAGAAGGGGTTGGTAGATGCAACCACAGTGTAATAGAAATAGATCTTTTTAAACTAAACATGTTGAAACCCTATTGTTCATTTTCATTTTCATTTTCATTTTTTTCTTCAGTGATTCAAAACGTATGTTAGTAGATATTATGAAACGATCGCTTGTTTCCTCGCTAGCCTTAAAATTAGCATTCCTACACCAAATTCTCCTTATGATAAAATTTGCCTCTGAGAAATATACCAAACGCAAAGGAACTAGTGGAATCAGCCTCCCACTATATGTATATGGATGAATACTCATCCAAAGTACACAGCACTCACACAGCAACCCACACGGATGAAGCTGCAAATCTCACATCTACTAGTGAAATAAAAAACATTATTACAGTCATAAGTCCGAGTCTTCTGATTCTGATTCTGATTCGTGATGGGGAAGAAGACAAAAGAGCCTCCCCTAATGGATTCACTCACTCACTCACCCACTCACTCAACGGGCTCGTGAACAACGTTTGGTTTTGTTCCCCACCCACGGGAACCTGTTCCCCTATCTCATACGATATTCTGTATCTTAAAAGTAAATATATACGATTATACGAAAATGAATACATGTTTCTGTATGAGAAGGACGCAAGTTTGAGGTTCGGGGGTTGCGCGGGTACGGGTGACGGAGCGGGACAGCCCGTGATCTGAAACCAGCCCGTGATTTGAAGAGCAAGAGAGAGTGCGGTGAGCGATGGTGGAGGGAAGGCTTCATGAAGCGCCGCAGATTTTGCATCCTAACGGCATTGCGAAGCACCAGATTCATTGTTTGTGAGTTTTTTTTTGTTTTTGTTTGTGGGTTTATGCACTCTTGTGTATACTGCAAGAAAACGTCTACATCCATGAGGCTTTTATCAATCCATATCAGGTCTGTACATGATGCGGCGTGGGTTGACGTCAATGAATCGAATAGGGGGGAAAAACAATTCGCGTGGTGGAGCCTCGGGAGGGGAAGGAGACGTTAGGTGTGGGTGTGTGGGTGTGAAGGTGTGTGAATGTGGGTGTGAGGGTGTGTGAATGTGGGTGTGTGGGTGTGAGGGTGTGTAAATGTGGTTGTATTGGTGTGTGTGGGTGTTGGGTGGGGCAGGATGCGGTGCTCACGTCTACCAACCATGAGAGTACGGTTTGTAGTTGACTACCCTTTCGGAAACCCAACCAGTTTTCTTCACTCAAAGCATTCATGTTGCATAGCACCAGCTCACTTCAAAGGAAAACCGGTCAACAAGACTTGAAGATTTGAGTAAATGGAAAGTTGTGTGGGTGGGGCTTCGGGGTTGATATTTCGTCGTCAGGGGTTGTCAATTTGGAATGCTGTGGTTGACGCGAGGCATGAGCCATGCCCCACTGAATGAATTTTGCAGCATTGTACTCCGAACTTGAAGAGTAGAAGGTGCCAAAAAGAATCACCAAACAGATAAAGAGAGAGAGAGAGAGAGAGTGTGAGGAGGGGTGTTGGCCATTCTTTTGTGTGACTGACAGGAGTTGTGCTTCAGTGGGTCACTAACCAACTTGTGGTGTCCTTGGAGGGATTAAAGGTTCTCACCAATCGCCTTCATAATCCTTTCTGTGCACTGTTTTGTTGGATGGAGGGAGGCCGTGGTGTTTTCAACTAATAGTGTGCACTTGATAAGCCCTGTGGTCTCTTTTAGCAAACCGGCCATAATCAATGTCTGCCGGCAAGCTGAGATTGGATAACAGTTGATTCCCTAAAGAAGTGACGTGACGTGAATTACTGTATGACAGTCTTCTAATTTGTTTTTTTTATTTTCATTTTCAATAAATCAAGACGACATAGTCGGTGTTAGCCTTCATACAATCCATCACGCTGCTCTTGAAACATTCGAATGAATAAGATTCTGAATCATACTTGAAGTATTATAGTAGATGCCTCAGCAGTGCAAGAACCTAAGTTTTCCACATGGGTTACAATTGATTAAAAGCCGATATCCTAGTGACCTGCTAGCTGTGAGATAGGCTTTGGATCACTGGTTCTTCAAGCGAAATTTGGCAAGAACTCTTCGAAACAAGTTACAGGCGTGCGAATCTCACCTTCGTGTGGGCCACTATTCTATCTACTCGCCCTGATATTCAGCATGAAACGGAACCAAGGCGGGGGTGAGGTGTCTAGCTTGGGGCAATCGGATGATTTTCGAGTTTCAACGCTCTGACGAAGAGAAATATATTACTAAAAAGTACACAAGGAATCCAGCAACTAAAATTCCACCATAAAGGAGTGTCTGAGTAGACTGTACTGGCCTTGTATACTCAACTCTGCAGCACCGCATAGTATCCCTTTCTGCTGCAATCAGATGTTCCACGTAGCTGCACATAAGCCAAAGTACAACATCAGTAGAGTACTTAAAAAAAGAGAAGACGCATGGATACTGGGATCGATTTCTGGGATGCCAGGATTTAAGGGATTGTAAAAAAAAACTTGGAAGACGAAACTTACTCCTGAGTAAAATGTGCAGACTGCATGATAGTAGAAGCATTCCCAAGGGCGTCCTGAATCTGATGATCATAAAGTAGAGATGACAGTTGCACAAGCTGGTCTTCCAAAGTGCTCAAATAATTTTCTAACCGCTCCACTTTCTCGTGTGGCACGGGAGCTGGTAAAGACGTTCTTTTCTTGTAGAATTTGTCGATCCATAACTCTACTTTGTTCTTCTCCTTCTCGCCCTTCACTTCTTCTCCAAGAGGTGTGCGAAGGAAATCAGAAACAAACTCCTGAATATTATCAGTGGACTGCCTTATTGTTTTGAGCGCCACGTGCACGCGAGCATAAACTGCATTACGCTGCACCATACCAGCAATACACAATTATGCAAAGCACAGACATGTAAACCCCACGTAGAATTCGCTACAAATAAAAAAAATCCCGCTGATGGGAAAAACATACTAATAAAATCAAACTTCCAACATCGGAAAGAGAGAAATCTTTGCACCAAGTAGAATCCTCAACAATCTTAAGCTTGGAGAATGACTAATTCGTCATGTGCTTCCGAGTCATAGTAAAGAAGAAAGCTAAACATACCAAGGTGCAAGTGCAGTTGTAAATTGCTTTGACCTACAATTAGAATGATGTAGAGACAGGTTGGCAGAAACTCACCCTCGCAGTGTCACGCAACAGGTGGCTCACACTAGATGTGTTTGAAAAAGGCCCAAAAGGATGATGACCACAAGCCCAGAGCCAATCGAGAATAGGACGATCATGGATATGAGATGCCCTCTCATAAGGTGCCACCAGCCCACCAACTACAGCCGCAAGCCCAGCTATTATATGACGCTGCGGGGAGGTAGGTATTGCCTTCATCTTTTTAGTTTCTGACACAGCACTACAACATTCAACCAACCAAAATGAGAATCCAAAAAATGTCCATATACAGTCAATTTTCTGCGGACTTCGGGCCACAATGCCGGGCGGGGGAGAGGGAGAAAATGAATTTTCTTAAGAAATGGAAGGCTCCGTCAGACTAACCTGAGGGTTATAGGATCTCCAGGATGTTGCAGGACAAAAATAGCATCATGACTCACCCACATGAGATTTTCTCCTTCCATCAATAGCTGCGGATCCACTCCATCCAAAGATAATACGAACCTAGATTATATCCCGAGGTTAACAGTGAGCACTTTAGTCCACAAATACTGCTTACCGATACAAAACACAGAGCAGGCATTACTTATCATAAAACAGCATTGGATACGCAATAAAAGAATAGTGATTGAAATGTATTGAAATCGTATATTTACTTACACAGGGACTACTCGAGTACCATGAGACTTTGTCACTGGTGTAGCAACAGTAGGGAATCGATCTCGAACAGTTCGTTTGGCATTCTTTTCCTGTGCGTTCTTTTTTAAATATGGATGCCTTGGTTGGCGTGATTTTATAACAGTATCCTCTTGCGCGTTGGGGGGTTCCTCCCAGTTGTGCTGTCATATTCGGATAAGGCACACCCCAGTAAAATCGTTTGTATTAATATTCCGTACAATCCTATTTAAGGCAAAAAATGTTGAGCCAGGCACATATTGCATAGACTTCCTCCTCAGTGGATGCAACAGAATGATATGCCACTGAGACTAAGACTATGATCATGTTTAAAGAGGGCTAGCGAAGTCACCTGCGGTGTCCTTTGTCTAAAGTATCTCCTTGAAAGTTCTGGGTCAGCTACTTCTAGAAGTCCTGCAGCAAGAACATCGGAAGAGTGTCGCATCTCCTGCCACCCGACAACATCAGCTTAAAGCTTAGACATGCCGGGCACTTGTGGTTCTGTTCAAGGTTCCCATCAAACTCTATCTTTCCAAGTTGCCACGCTTCTCTAGAGAAGACCTCACGCTATCAATGCAACAATAAGTGGATATGAGAACGTCTTATGCAGCACTTCAATAGAAACAAAACAAAAGATATGTGACACATTGAAGGTATGGGAGAAACCTCTCGCAACACAGCTCCATCAAGGAAGGTCAAAGTCTTGGCATGAAAACGGCCATCTGGGCGGGTTTCATGAGTCGACATTCCCCGCATGGCTTTTGCCACAGAAATGGACAAGCGTTCGTGATCATGTAAACTATGTATACCTGCCACTACCATAACCTCTTGCCCTGGTTGCAGCATTGACTTTACCTGCAGCACCATAAGTAAGATCGTGAGGATATTTACTTAAGAAGCGAGCTAAACAATGTGAATCTGCAAACTCCTTAAAACGCAGCTAAATTGCTATGCATAACATGTCCAACGTTCTCATATCAGTATGATAGTGGACATGTGATGTGGAGTATAGATGGCTTTAAGGCACTAAGTGCTAAAGTCTACAATTACAACGGACATGGGTAGAAACCTCAGCATTCAAGAACTCGGTGAAGGAATATAAAGTGAAGCTCACCTGATGCCTGATCTCATCCACATCTATGCTGTGATTACTTCCAGATTGAAGAATGTTGTAATGTAAATGGTTTCGAAGAACAATAATGGGAACCAACAATCGTGATGATACATCTACAGTATCGAACCTGTCGATCCAAAATAGCTAGTTAATTAGATAGAATTGATGCTATACCCGCATTCTTGTACTATACTTTGCAATGGATGGACACCTGAAGGAAAAGAAAACTGAAGGGTTGCTTGATTTCTTATAAAGATGCAAATGATCAGATGATTCTGAATGCTGGTCGAACGAGTTAGAACTAAGTGCAGCTTACCTGATATCTGGTGCAATGACGTGCTCTAGTGCAGACACTATCGTTCGAGATATTTGGCCACAAAACACATTCTCAACCACAGAAGGGTTGACAGCAGGGCGATATTTGGGAAGTAAAAGATGCTCGAGCCTGGGTACTGTCCTGTGCCCTACACTTCCCTCTTCAGATTCCAATCTTCCATAGGAGCAAGGTCCAGCTGAAATGTCAATCACCGCATACCTGCAGACAACGTCAAAAGAAGGTCCAGCAAAGAGTAGATTCAGCTGTACTGAACATGACCTTAACTCTCTGACACATAAGGAGGCCTAATCGAGAGAAATGAATCAGTCGTCAAGATATGGAAACATGACTAGTATCCTAGAATTGAAATATTAACTAGCTACTATGTCTAAAATTCGATAATGATAGGATACAACATCCACTTTCAGAGAGTTCTCTACCTTCCATGACTAAGCCAGACTTGCGAGGCAGCACCCCCATTGTACCGGTATCGATAAACAAAACCAGCTTCTTGTTTCAGGAATTGCTCAGAGGTAAGTTCGGTAATGCTAGGAAACGAATCGTGCTCCGAGGTCACATTTTTGGGGTCCATCCTGGCCTGCAAACAGTTCGTGATGAGTTCCAGAGAGATAGGTCACGAAACAGTCAAATGCTGGACGGGGTTGCCCTTCAGAAGATCTGTTGACTTCCACTTAGCTCTACCTACAAAACTGGAACAAAACATGATACGAATATAGAAACTCCATAATTGTGTTACGATCATATCGTTCGTTACTATGACTCTAAAGTCGACTTAACCGACCGCAAGAAACAGGTTAAAACATCCATGCTTGACTTCATAGAAAGCGTTCCTAGTCAGCAAGCACACCTTGTCAAGGTTGAGTATAAAAATCGCAGTGGGTAAGGCTCTGTTGAAGTCGTGTTCTGCACCTGCATCTGCCGGTAGTCCGAACAAATAACTATAGAGTCTATCAAAAGTCGACTCCATTGCTGTTGCCTCGACTTCAAAACAAGGAACTTCTTTACCATATTCGCTCTGTTGTACGTAACGCATCGAAAAAAAAATATTAGACAACACTGTAAACGTGTACAGAAAAACACAAAATTACTGCTGTTGTTTACCAGGAGTAAATTACGTGATCGCAAATATTAGATATACAAGCATAGAATAATCAATCTGCAATAGATGTATTTAGCGTATATAGTACCTCTCTAGCTACACCTGCCTCCACCATTTTTTGTTTCATCTCATCTTCGACCGCAAGAAGTTCTGTTGGCCCCACCTGGAAAACATCGCAAGGAATACATGATACAATAAGAGCTTAAATCTCACAATTAATAGATAATCAATTAGACCTAAGCAGAGAGCGCTCAAATTCATGACAAGCAAGTAGATGAATAAGTCAATAATCAAGGCAGTCACATATATATATATATATATATATATATATATATATATATATATTAACCCTATACATGATCATTTCATGTAAGAACATGCTGAGTAGAGTTATTTGAACCTCACAAACACCACATATTAAGTATCACCCGTCTGAGAACCTTACTGGTATGACATTGTAACTCATGTCGAATTGAATGTCCAGCATTTCTCCTGTTTCCATACAAGAGGGACGATGTGAAGGAAAACTTGACTTCATGTGGTGATGCAATTTATCATGATCCAAATGAAACCGATAACCCCCATCATTCAGAAACCCTATCAGCACCACGTTGACCTCGAGAGGAACGGGAAATGGAACCTGAATTTTACAAACATAACAGCATCACAGATAGCTCTGCAATTGTTAGAGTATACACAATTTTCCACCAAAAAAAGACGGGGAGGGGGGATTGCTCAAGATAACACTCCCCATTCCTCTCAACGTGTAATCTACCAAAACTCAACTTTCATCAGCGCAATAATCCATGTACGACTGAGAACAGAAGCAGCCACTAGAGGCACCTGTGCACGAGAGTGTAGAAGCTCGTGGGTCATCTTCCGCACACCCTCCTTGTGGTCTTGAAAACTGCCGTGATGCCATTGTGGGTGCCCAGGGTCTCTTCGAAATGGCTCTTTCACAGCTTGAGCGAAGTCCAGAAATTCTAGAAGCAATACAATTGCGACGATCGGCACTATCAACCACCTTACACCCATCGTTTTTTTAGCACTATCAGTCCGTCTCCGTCGTCACACCACCATTGAATCGTCTCCGCGAGCTCACAAGCGTCCACTTCAAGCTCCTCTGCTGGGCTCTAAATTCGAATCTGGCAATCAAAGGCTGCATTGCACTTGTTTGCGAGCAAACCCTTCTCGTCCGTGTAGGGTCTTCGCTACCTGTGTCACTCGACTGCCGCAACCGGACCGTGTCGTAAGGTCCACCTCAGCAACGACGAGCCTCCGTTTGACGAATACACATCTGATCCACGTAGATTGGACGTTGTTTGTTTGTTTGATTTTTTGTTTTGTTTTTTATTTTTATTTTTATTTTGTTTCGTTTTTTCCTCTCTTCTTCTCCTCTTTCTGAGACAGCAGGATTGCACTTGATGTGTATACTTGATAAGAAAGGTAAATACATGGCATTCAAAGACCTAAGATCCAAAAAATTGGATGGTAGATGAAGTAGTATCATAGTTGCTAGACTATGTATTATGATATGTTAGTTGCTAAGCTATTGTGTATTATCATACCTCTATAATGAGGGATTAAATTTCACCTTATAAATTTTTTTTGTCTAATTCTCAACATTTCTTTAGCCATCCAAGTTTTTTTCCCAATGGCAAAACATCCTTTATCATTGTCAATGTCTTTATTTACATTGTCTAGAGTAATTTTCTACATCATTCTATCATAGTCTAGGAGATTGAACTAGATTTTTGTTCTTTATTTTTATTCCAAGTTTCTCTATTAAATGAAAAATCATTGAGTCATCTCCAAATTGTCCATAAATATATACTTCTTAATAGATAACATATTGTTTTCAACATATTGAATTTAAGAAGGATCATTTTGCAACATTTTTTTTTTTTTATAAAAAGGCAAGCTAGGAACTAGCTCTTCTAAGCATGGTGATAAGTTTGTGCAATATTAATATAATCCAGACCCACGCTTTTTTTTACTTTTGAGCATTCTCAAAATTTGTGAAGCATTATTTTGGAAAGATTTAAGCTACAAAGTTGATATAAAGGTGAAATGTTTTTAATAGCTTATACTTTCTTTTGAGAGTATTAAGTGTAGCCGACGCTCTCCATAATATTTATTATAGACTATAGTAAATACCATAGCTACAGTATTTAGAATATAGTGGAAAAGAATTGTTTATCCTCTTTCCTTTCTCCTCTTGCATACGAGACACAACCAGATCAATAGATTTTTATGTGTGAAGCTCTCTCTCCTTAAAAAACCCTCTTGTGTGTATTACTTACTATTATTCTTGTGTATGTGTGTATTACTTATTATTACTCTTGTGTGTGTGTGTGTATTACTTACTACTACTCCTGTGCCTTTTTAAACATTCTCAATATTTTCTATACATTAACTACAAAGCCTCTATAGTATATTAGCCAAATAAGAGTGACTTTGATCTTAGCTTAGAATTGTAACCAAACATCTTTTTATTTAAAGCTATAAGTTTCATCAAATTTGTCACTTAATTTTGATGTAGCTAAATTCCACGCTTTATGACTTATTATGTAGGAATCATCTACTAAGTTTGGCTTTATAAGCTATATTATTAAAAAAAAATCCAAAAATATGCTAATGAATCAAAGATATAATTTTCAAAAGTTTTATCAAAAATTCTATTGTCTTCAACAAATTTACTTTTGACTTTTATTTTAATAACAAATCTTACTACTTTTGCAGATCCTTGTGCTCTTACTATATTTGATTAATATATGTTCAAAGGAATTGATTCTTGTATTAATGATATTTTAGAGTTAAGAATAAGAAGTCTTGTTTGCTTGCCAACTATATAGATTTTAATTTTTAAAGATTTAGGCAAAATCAACTAAGCATTAAACTTATAATAAATATTGAATATGTTAAGTAAAAAAAACAAATTTTAATAATAGTACTTTAAGAGTGCTATAGAGACTAATTCAATCATTTATTTATAGTGATTCTAGTCTATAGCAAAGAAATCTTCTCCAATCTTCTAGATATTGATTTATTAAGGTTGTCAAAGTGAATCTTTATTTTGGTTTAGATAAAATTTGGGATTGACCTCTTGAAATGGTATAAAATAATTTTTTGTATGATTGCAATCATCTTTAATCCTTGTTATATCTTTTTTGTGAAGTTAAGTTAATTTGGTTGAAATAATATGTATGTCAATGAGAGAGGTTTTTTTTAATTCTATCATAGAGATCTATTTTTGACTTCAAGAAATTATTTTGGATCACTAAATTAAAGGTAAATTATGATTCTGGACGAAGATCTTTTAATTTATAATTAAGATTTTGAATCTTTGCCTCATTTATGTTTCAATGACAAAGTCTAAACACAATCAAGGCTCCATTTATCAAGTGCTTTAGAAGAAGCTAACATTAACATGTGTTTCAGTAAAGTTTAGGGATTTGAGTCTCCAAGCTATAGTGAACAAATTACCTATTTAGTTAAAAGATCACTTTCGGCTTCTTGAAGGCCTATTAGTCCAAAACCTCTTTCCTTTAATTCTTTGCAATATATTTTCTAAGCCACCTTTACACATGTGAGATCGTAGGTAATAATCTATAGAAAATTTATCATAAGGATTTTTTTTTTTTTTTCTTTTGAAATCCAATCCAAATAAGTATGAAGTAATAAATATATGATAGAATGATAATATTTATTATAATAATTCTTTTGGCTACATTTTTTTTGTAAACCATTAATCCAATTTTATTTAATCCTTTCTATTAGAATTTTTTTCACATTGTGAGAAATCAAAGAAAGCCCAAAAGATGTGTTCTATATCTTTAATAAGTTTTTTTAGCTCATCTATAATCATCCAAGATTTTCAACTAAAGAAAGTTTGGAAGATGTTTGGTGTTGCTAATATGCAAAAGATTATGACTATTTAATGTCAAGACTTAAGGCAAGTCCAAATTATTTCTTATGTAGCTAATATATTATTATGAATATATTTGAGAAGAAAAAAAAAATATTATTTAAGTTTAATAATTTCTATAAAAAAACTTAAGATCAATTTTTGGGCAATTTGGTATAAATATTTTTTAGGTGTTGAAGAAAGTAATAGATATCTAATTTATAAGTAGATTAGTATCATCACTTTTAGAGAATAAAATAATGGTACTTCTTATTAGACTTTTGAAAAAATATCCTTGTAATATAATAAAATTAGATATATTTATATATCCTTTGTTAATAATATGCAAATAATATTTTAAAATTCAATACTCATACCATTTATCATTGGATTTTTTCCATAATCAATTTCTTCATTTCTACATTAATAAATTGAGAGGAATTAGAATTTATAATAAAAAATTAGATTATATATTTATAATTTTTTTTATCTTATGTGGTTAGAAGGTTAGAATATGAATTGTTATAAATTTTTAAACATGATTCTTCAATTTTTCTTTTAGTCCTAATGCTCTAGATTTAAGGTCATCTATAATTTTAATTTTTTAGGTTGAGGATGTTTCTCCTTGAATACTTAAAAAAAATTCTTTATAAACTAATATTCAAATTTTTCTAACATGTTTGAGCTTTTACCTTGATGATTTCTTGCTTTTAGTCCTCAAACATTTTAAAGATTTTTTGATTTTTTTTAAAAAGAGTATTCAGCTAAAAAATCTAGAGAATTGTAAAGATAAAATTCATGTATTAATCCAAATTATAAGCTAATTTCAATTAAGAGTTACTTATAATTGGTGGTTTAAATTGAAAGAAGTTAAGAATAAGAATAAAAGAAGAACAACAAAAAACAAGTGAAATAATAGTAATCAAGTAATTCCATAATACAACTTGTCAAAGACTATTCATTAGATTTTTATCTAATAAAAAATAAAATTTAAAATCATAAATATATCTTCAGATATTTAATTTTTTTATATGACATAAAAAAATTCAAATTCAAATTACTATGAATAAGTTATAATAGTTTAAAGATCCAATATAAATAATATATATATATATATATATATATATATATATATATATAACCATAATTTGCTTAAGTAATTAAAAATTTGAGCCTCACCAAAGTTGACAAATGATATATAAAGGTATTTTAGAGATGCCACAAAATCCTTAATTTTATCCTCCTACCTACAACTAAGGTGCTACAATCCATATAGGACTTGAGCACCTCTCTTCCTATAAAGACTATACTAGTTGCTTGTCTTCTTATTTTTTACTAATAAAACTAATATTTTTATAATTTAAAATTTAGAATAAAATTATCAAATTGTCTTTAGGACCTTTTAAGACCTTCAAATCTTACTCCATTTCTTCATAATGACATGCCCAAGACATAAAAAATATTTTTGCTTAAGTTTTAAAATTCATCTAAAAATTCCTAAAATATTTCAAATAAATTTTAAATAAATTCTATAAATATTTTTAATATTTTTTTCATCATACTATAACATTACAGCCATTTTTTAAATTTTTATAGTAATAAAATAAATTCAAATCAACTAAAAGTTTTATTTTATATATAAATAACTAAAAAAATATGAGGTTCTTTGTTATGCTTCTTCTAAATACTAACTAAAACTTATAGGTTTTTTTTTTTTTTTTTTTTTTTTATAAGTAGTAAATTTATAGAAAAGACCAATGTAGAAATTGGTTTCAATAAATGAACATTAATACTTAACAATAAGAAAAGATATTAGACTAACTAAGATAATTGATTTTTAAACTTATAAAGGTTCTATTTTTATAATTTTTTTCTAATAAGACTCTTATAATTAATAAATCTTTATAAATTCTAATAAGTACTTAAATAATCAAAAATACTCTTTAAACTTAATATTATTATATTTAAGTAACTTAAAATTATATTTTTAATAGTTCTTTCAATTAAGATCTATTGATAGGACTTATGAAGATTATATTATAGTATAATTTATCTCTACATCTTTTCTTGTTCTCACATGGCTTTGGTTCTTACATAATCTTTTGTAGAATTGAATGAATGTTTTAAATCTATTAAGGATGTTTTTGCCATATTTTGTATTAAAGTCTATTTATTCTTACTAAATCTTGAATTCTAAAGTCTTTAAGATAAAATTTATTTAATTTATAAATTTAATTTTAAATTTAATTTTAAAAAATCTAAAAATATAATTTGATTGATAAGTAATTGAATAGGGCTATATTTC